AAAAGACAAATAAGGCCATCTCTCACAGACATGTCCACAGACAAACCTGATAAAGAGAATTACTAGCAACCACACATATACAAAACATGGGAGGATTCTACAAGTAATTTAAATGTAGAAAGAATTTTAAAACTGGAAAATGAGTTCTGTGGCACTGAATAAAACACTGACTGCATCCCACATCTATACCCCCATGAAATGATGGGCTCAACCTAGCAGAAAACAGTAAGTTGATCACACTTGTGTATTTTTGCTAATTCAGCTTGAACGGCTGTGACAGTATCACTCTGTCCACATAGAGCTAATGAAAAGGCGGGTTCTTAGTAAAGATTCGGAAGTACACATTAGTTGCATAACCATGCTGGTATTTGACTGACATTAATTTATATAACACAGACTAGAAAAAAGTTTGGTTGTTTCACTTTAGTTTGTATCTCTGCTTCACCATGTCCAAATTTTGCTGTACAGTATCAGCGAATGGTTTAGCACTCAAATATCCTTAATTACCAAACAAATTTTCTTCATCTGAATGCTAAATGATCTTTGAGCCACAAAATTATACAGATAAATGCAAATAGTGTTCCCATGTGTTATTCTAAAAGGACTAAACCTGAGAGTTCTACGTAAGCACTGGTCACCTGGAATACAGAACATCCTCCGTTCCAGGGCTAGAATAGGTGCTTTCCTTTCCTGCTAGTGCTCACAACACACAGAGAAACCACTTTCTCTGCAGATACGCCTAAGCTGGAGAGTTGCAGGTACTATGCGTTAACTGGAGTACAGCCAATTACATGCGAGCAGGGCTTTGACATAGGCCGTTAAAGATTAATTATCTAGAGACATGGGTGTATAATTTTTTTTTGCCCGATAGCTGAGGTATCCAATGATCGTTTCCCTACAGAAGCAATAAGGGGCTCAGAAGTCATCTACCTTAAAGATATTTTAAGAGGAAATAATACCACCCACCTTCCTTGATTCTCTAAAGCAGTAGGTTCTCAACCTTCACAATGCTGTGACCCTTTAATACAGTTCCTCATGTTGTAATGACTTCCAACCATACAATTATTTCATGGCTACTTTATAACTGTAATATTGCTACTATTATGAATTGTATATATCTTTTGGAGATAGAGGTTTGCCAAAGGATTTGAGACCCACAGGTTGAGAAACTCTGCTCTAAAAGAAAATACATGTCTGTACTCAGTGGTATAACTTGAGATCAGAGAGAGAAGGTATATCTCCAGATATTCTTGTATTGCACATGGTTGTTTTAGCTATCCTGGGTTTTGTTCTTCCATGTGAACTTGAGTATTGTTTTTTTCAAGGCATGTAAAAAATTGCACTGGGGTTTTAATAGGGATTGTGTTGCATCTTTAGATTGCTTTTGGTAAGATGGTCATTTTTACTGTGTTAATCCTACCAACCCATAAGCACAGAAGATCTTTCCATTTTCTGATATCTTCTCCAATTTCTTTCTTCAAATATTTGAAGTTCTTTTTTTTAAATTATTTTTATTGAAAAAATTTCCACCTCCTCCCCGCCTCCCATTTCCCTCCCCTCCCCACCCGCCCGATGCCTGCAGAGATCAGAAGTCACTGAATTCCCTGGAACTGGAGCTATACATGGTTGTGAGCCACCATGTGCCTCCCCTCCCCTCCCCCACTCCTCTCCCCCTCCCTCTCCAGTCCTAAGAGCAGTCAGGGTTCCCTGCCCTGTGGGAAGTCCAAGGTCCTCCCCCCTCCATCCAGGTCTAGGAAGGTGAACATCCAAACAGGTGAGGTTCCCACAAAGCCAGTTCATGCAGTAGGATCAAAACCCAGTGCCATCAGCCCTCATTGTCCGCCATGTTCAGAGAGGCCGGTTTTATCCCATGCTTTTTCAGTCCCAGTCCAGCTGGCCTTGGTGAGCTCCCAATAGATCAGCCCCATTGTCTCAGTGGGTGGGTGCACCCCTCACGGTCCTGACTTCCTTGCTCGTGTTCTCTTGAAGTTCTTGTCATACAGGTCTTTCACTTGTTTGGTTAGAGTTATCCCAAGATATTTTATATTGTTTGTGGCTATTGTAAAGGGTGTTGTCTCTCTGATTTCTTTCTCAGCTCTTTTATTGTTTATATATGAGAGGGCTATTAATTTATTTGAGTTAATCTTGTATCCAGCCACCTCACTAATGGTGTTTATCAGCTGTAGAAGTTGCATGGTAGAACTTTTGGGGTCACTTGTGTATACTATCATGTCATCTGCAAATAGTGATACTGAAGACATCTTTTTAAAATTTGTATCCCCCTTGATTTACTTTTGTTGTATTATTGCTCTAGCTATAACTTTGAGTGCTATATTTAATAGGTATGGAGAGAGTAAACAGCATCATCTTGTTCCTGATTTTAGTGAAATTGCTTTGAGTTTCTTCCCCATTTAATTTGATGTTGGCTGTTAGTTTGATATATATTGCTTTTACTATATTTATGTATGTTTCTTGTATTGCTTATCTCACCAAGACTTTTATTATAAAAGAGCATTAGCTTTTTCGGCGTCTAATGAGATTGTTTCTTTTTCTACAGATTGTTTATATGATGGACTACATTGACAGATTATCATATGGTGAACCATCCCTCTAGGATGAATCCCACTTCATCATGGTGAGTGATCTTGATATGTTCTTGGATCCAGTTCCCCAGTATTTTTTGAGTAATTGAGTATTTTTGCATTAATGTTCATCAGGAAAATTGGTCTGTAATTCTCTTTATTTGTTGAATCTTTGTGTTATTTGGGTATCAGAGTTTCACTGTGGGCCTCAAAGAAAGACTTTGGCAATGCTCCTTCTGTTTCTATTTTGTGGAATAATTTAAGGTTTGTTGGTATTTGTTCCTCTTTGAATGTTTGGCAGAATCCATCCTACCCTGTTTTTTTTTTTTTTTTTAAATCACCCTGAACAAAACTCAAGTCGAAGTGGATCAAAGACCACAACTTGAAACAAGCTACGCTAACATGTGAGACAATGGGGATGTTCTATCGGGAACTCACCAAGGCCAGCTGGCCCGGGTCTGAAAAAGCATGGGATAAAACCGGACTTGCTGAACATAGCAGACAATGAGGACTACTGAGAACTTAAGAACAATGGCAATGGGTTTTTGATCCTACTGCACGTACTGGCTTTGTGGGAGCCTAGGCAGTTTGGATGCTCACCTTACTAGACCTGGATGGAGGTGGGTGGTCCTTGGACTTCCCACAGGGCAGGGAACCCTGATTGCTCTTTGGGCTGACAAGGGAGAGGGACTTGATGGGAGAGGGGGAGGGAAATGGGAGGCGGTGGCGGGGAGGAGGCAGAAATCTTTAATAAATAAATAAAAAAAGAAGAGAAAGTGGGGAATATTCTTGAAGTTGTTAGCATAGGAGACAACAACCTGAATAGAAAGAACACTAGTTGCACAAACACTAAGATCAACAAGGCAGTTTATTTGTAATAACCTAGAGGACCTGTGTAATCCTCTTAAAAGAAAAACCTACATGATTCTCAATTGAGGAATGGATAAAGAAAATGTGGTATATTTACACAAAAGAGTATTAGTCAGTTGTTAAAAACAAGGACACCGGGAAATTTGAAGGCAAGTTGATGGAACTAGAAAAAAAAAATTATCCTGAGGTAACCCAGACCCAGAAAGACAAACATGACATGTATTTGCTCGTAAGTGGATATTAGGTATGAAGTAGTGGATAATCATGCTACAATTCACAGACCCAGAGATGCTAGGTAACAAGAAGAGCCTAAGGGTGTGGAACACAGATCTCCTTGGGTAAAGGAAATAGATTTCCTGTGTGGACTGAGGGTTGGTGCAGATGGGAACTTGAGGGATTGAGTTAAGGGGTGGATGAAGGGGGGGAGTACTGAAAAAGATGACTGGAAAGGAGGAAAATATCAGGGTCAAGTCGAAACCTGATGCAAGGGAAACTCCACAAATCTACAAGGATGACCCCAGTTAAGACTCCCAGCAGTAGTGGCTTAGTAGCCTGAACTGGTCATTATCTATGATCAAATTGATGACTACCCCAATTGTCATCAGAGTCTTTATTCAGTAACTGATGAAAACAGATACATAGAGCCACAGACAAACATTAGGCCAAGATCAGGTAATCCTGCTAAAGAGAGGGAAGATGGATTGTAGGAGCCAGAGGAGTTATGGACATCACAAGAAAACACAGAGAAACAACTAAGCTGGCTCATAGATGCTCAGAGCCTGAACCAACACCCAGAGAGCCTGTGTAGGACCAACCTAGGCCCTGTTCATATATTTGACAATTGTGTAGCTTGGTCTATTTGTGAGACTCCTAACAGTGGGAGTAGGGGATGTCCCCAATACATCAACTGCTTCTTGGGAACCTATTCCTCCTACTGGGTTCCCTTGCCCAGCCTTAATACAAGGGGAGGTGCTTAGTCTTACTACAACTTGATATGGCATGTGTTGTTGATACCCTTAGGAATTTTTCCCCTTTCAGAACAGAAACAGAGGAGAAGTGGATTGAGGGGCAGAAGGGAGGTAGGGAGGGGGAATGGGGGGAAAGTAGGGAGGAGAAACCTCTCTTGTGATATAAAATTGATTAAATTAAATTTAAAAAGACACAGGAGCATACAATCTATCTATCAAATAAAAGTATTGAGAAAGAAAACATATCTTGAAGCATTCCTGAGAAAACTTTCTATCAGTATAAATGATGGCCTTGGGGGCGGGATATTTTAGCTACAGTACTTTTCAGACAATACCTGTTTTGAACTTTATTAGAAACAATTTAGCTTTCAAGTATGAATGAAAATTTTACTGGACAGGTGTATCTATCATTCTTTCTTTTTCCTGGAACCTTAACCACAACTAGTACTCTATGGAGGATGCTGTGCAGTCCTGTAAAGAAGACACATGGAAAAAAAAATCATCAGGAAAATAGTTAAAAGGCAACAAAGCTTTGGACAAGAATTAAGCTTTTAATTCACTCACTCACCTTTAGAAAACACCAAGGTACAGGGAACCAGTCTTAATATGGAAACTACTCCTTTCTCACATGCCAATTTATAAATATGTTTTGTTCAGCCTGTGCAAGATACACAGGAATAAAGTCGACAGCTTGTTTCAAAGCATACTCATAGTCTGTGAAGTAAAAACAAAAATTACAGAGCTTGTAACATCTTTTACTTGCGCTGGCATAAAGGAGATGTGGGTTTCCATAATTGGCAACAATACTGATAGTTTCTGTTTAAGAGGGAGAAACGGACTCTCGTTTTCACAGCTGGAGGGTAACATAACACAAGTTCTGAAGGACTTCAAAAGGAACATTTTTGCTTTTGGAAAGGCAACATTCTATACTGTCACCAGAGACTTTGAAAACAGAATTTCCTTTAAAAGATAATAAAGCAAGAATTCTTTATGATCCTTCTCCTTTGTCTCTTTACTGTCACTTGACAGGCCAGCCACTTCTTCAGATATAGAAAAACAAGTTCATAAGAAAAATTCAGAGGCTAAATCACGGTTCATTTTTAAATGTTTATATTGAAAATCAGGTCGGTCTTTGGCTAGGAGGAAACCTAAATTAGTTGCATTCATACCTACTTGTATTACAAGTAGAAATAATTTTGTTATAATTATGATAAAATATTTGATAACTAAAGAGATAACAATCTACCCAGGTATGGCTTTTGTAGAACACCATAAACTCCTCTTTAGAGTAATTTCATTAAGGTTATTTACATTTTTCAACATGACTGAAAGAGAACACTTACAAAATAGTCATACAGAAAGATTTAAAACAGCACCAAAAAGGTGTTGTATATTTAATGAAAGCCAGCAGGTAGCAAAAATATTACACGAATTTCTTTAGTTTATAAATATCTATTTATGTTAAATTCAGGCCAAGCTTAATTTCATTTGAAAATGTGCTTTAAAACATTTATTTTTTTTTTAAAAAAATCCTACCACAAAAGGTTCTGAATATTTCAACGCAGTTGAATCATAAAAAAAAAAAAGAACTTAAAAGCAACTATATGAAGATGGTAGAAGTTCACAAAGAGGAAATTGATATATCCCTTAAAGAAATACAGGAAACACAATCAATTGGATGAGATGAATAAATCCCTTAGAGAATGACAAGAAAAAAGACCAAACAATTGAAATAAAACAAATAAAATTGTTAAAGACCTGAAAATGGAAATAGAAGCAATAAAAAAAAACCACTTAAACTGAGGGAAAAAATTTTAAACTAGGTCTCTCATCTGTTCTTGAACTATGTATCTGGTGCTGGCCACTAAAATCCTTTTATTTTTTTGCCTCTCTAAATTTGTGAGGTTAGAAGTGTGTGTTGCCATGCCAAGAAAACCTATTAGATATTAAAAGTCATGTCAACTGTATAAAAATCCAAAAACTATATGATATCTTGAAAACTAAAATGAGAGGTCCTAAAAAAGGATTATTTTGCAAAACAATTAGACAAACATACAAATTATGTTTCAACAAGGGACAAGGCATTAAGGTTTTCAGTTGCTTCTATAACTATGTCGAGAATGTCAAGAATATTGATTGGTCAAAAAGACAAGAAACATATTTTTGCCTTGCATGTTTTCCCTGCAGTATCATGGAGTGAATATAGACACAAAGAAAGCTTACTGTAAAAAATTAACTTTGGGGCTGACAAGATGGCTCAAAGGGTAAAGACATTTCCCACTAAGTATGATAACCTGAGTTTGACCCTCAGGATCCATATGGTTAAAGGAGAGACTCCTGCAAGTTGTCCTTTGACATCTGTATGTACACTGTGGCATGCACAGTCATACTCATGCACATACACACACAAATAATAAAAATATAAGTAAAAAGAATGCTATTAATCAATTTTATTACAGACCCCAATGATTTGAAATAGATGATTTTATACTACACTGGATTAGACCTGTGAAGTATCTACAGAAGAAGAGAAATAGCTAAAAAAGTAATATAACAAGACAGAGCTCGAGTATGGGTTGGGGAGAATGACTACTATAAATAAGAAAATACTCCTTGTATGTTAGAAACTTTCAAGCACCTCGTACTCTTATGCCAACCTGGCCATGATTGAAATATATCTGAAAGTACATTTTCTCTTGAAATACTCTGCAATTCATGGGTACCTGCTACATAACACCTCTCCACTCTTGCAGCAAGGTCATAATTTTCCCCTGTGATATTTTTACTTTAACCTCAGGCTAGAGCAATGAGGGTAGAAAAGCAGGGAAGGGTAATGATAATCATTAAGGGAACAGGCAGTGTAAGGAGGCCTCTCAGCTGAAAGGCAATGTTTCTAAAATTAAATCCCATCTTAGAAATTAATGACATGTTATTTTCTTAATTACATTCTGGACTGTTTACACTGGCCACTAAATCAGTAAGGGCCATAAGTCTTACCAGTTTAAACCAACCGAAAGAGCAGTATAACTCTGCTTGGAACAAGGGTAACTGTGGCCTTTGTAGGTGTCCCTGTTACCAAAGTAGCCTATCTTCTTGCTGCCTTTGGGGAAAACTGTTTTCAGAGATAACCATATCACCCAGAATGTCTGTAGCCTCAAAGAAATCCAGCATTCCAGAGCAGTCTCTGGCCTCAGAAATATTCATGTTCCCAGGGATGCCAAGCTTTTCGAGATTATCAAAGTCTCAGATGGGCCTGCTTTCCCAGAGATCCCCATGCCTTTGAAGATGTCCACATTCCCAGAGAGGTTCATTTATGGTCATAAGAGGCTTATTTATAATCCTACAGCAGCCATGACAGAGGTCTGTACACTGGATTTTTGCTTGATCTATCTGAGCAAAGGCCTCCCTCTGGACAGGGGGCCTTTTAGACCTCCACTGACACTCATGGAGTTTAGGAGATTAAAGGATTTCCCAAGGACTAGGACAATGCATTCCTACTACATCTCTGCTAGTGACTCAGCACAGTTTTTTAGTCTCTGTCTCCAGAACAAAGAATGACATGAAAAACAACCAAAAAGGAAAAAGCGGGCTACAGGGATTCTGCTTCTATTATTTATGAGTGGCAAATTATCCATTCTATTGGCCAGGTTGGGCCCTGGACAGCAGGAGCACACAGCGATAGGTCCTAAGATCTCTAACCTATGAGGCCAGGGTGAGAATGCAGAGCAGTGGAAGTATGCTTGGGAAAAAGGCGCTCCCAAGGGTATGGAGAGACAGAAACACGCAGTGGGGTTATGAGCAAGCAGAATATCATTCGTGTTCATGGAAGGCCGAAGGTTCAGAGACACCGGTCCCAGAACTTTGAACCTCACTGGAAGGGACCCTACACCTACTGCCCTCAATGCAGACGGTATTGTAGCCTAGGTCCATGCGTCTCACATAGAGCCTGCATCTCCACAGGATGACCCAGGAGCATCCAAATGAAAGTTTCAGCATGCCCAAAATCCTCTCAAGGAGGCCTGATTCTGCCAGGCTTGCTGATCTTTGCCCAGATGTTTATACCTTAGGACTTAACCTGCACCCTGACTAACTTTGATTCTGGGCGAGCCTTAAGGAGTTCATCCCCTAAATACCTGGTTCCCCCAGCTAACGTTTGACCTGTGTGTTTTAGCAAAAGCCTCTTGGGAGGACACTGAGCAAACCCCTGGAAACTTTTATCCTGTATAAAAATATTCTGAATGATATATTTGTCCGGGGGGAAAAACAAACTATGCAGTATGGGGGGGGCCTAAAGTATTTTATTGTGTTGCCTGGGGACAAACCTAACTCTCCCAAGTCCCAGGACAACAGGACCTGGTGCCCTCTATTGATCTATGATGGGCCTACAACACTGGTTTGCTAATTTCTGGATTCAGATCCAATTAGTCCTCCAAATTTACTAATATCTCAAGATTGAGATATTTGACCAAATTAGAGGAGGGAATGTAAGACTATAAGACAATTCTGAAGCCATTTTGACAATTCTGAATCCTCTCAGCCTCTGTGCCATAGTGCTTCCCCTCCTCCCCTGGGAACCAAGGACCTAACAGCTACACTAGCACCTACTCAGTTCCTGAACAATTACCCATATACGTACGTTTTGATTCGGTCGCCTGAGAAACGGGGTCAAAATGACCTCTTACCTCATCTGATCTGGCAACAGCTCTCCAGTCAATTATTGGTAATAGCCCTTTTGAATAAGCCAATCAACATAGTCAAAGAACAACCCCCCTTGCTTCTGTGGCCCCTTTAAAAGTAGACTGTACCCGCTATTCGAGGTCCCTCGGCTTCCCGAATGCTGGGGGACCCTGTCATGACAGTTAATAAAATCCTCATGCTTTTGCATCGGCTGTGGTGTGTGAGGTGGTCTCTGGGGGCGACTCCTCCTTGGTGTTTGAACGCTAGAGTCCAACACATAAACAGAAGAAAAAAGATAAAAACTCATTCCATGACAGATTAAAAATAAGCATAGAAAAGCCCAGTAAAATTTAAAAAATGAATGAACAAAATAAGCATTTCAATAAGAATAACGTTCAAAAATGAAAAAAATCTTCAGAATTCTCAAAGCCAAAAGAATAATTGAACTGAACATTGAATACAGGAATCCAATGGCATTCTAGACGAATCATAAAAAAGAATTAGCAAATTAAAAATAGATCATGTAAATTATTTATTCAGAGAAGCAAAAATGAAAAACAAGAAACAGGGAAGACAGATTAAGCGAACCACGGGATATTATCAGACAATATATAGTCAGCATAGGAATTCGTAGGAATCGAAGAAAACATTATTTTGTAAAACTGACCAGGTGAATCAAGTAGTGGTGATATACCTCTTTAATCCCAGCATTCAGGAGGTAGAGGCAAGTTGGTCTCTGAGTCCAAGGCCAGCTTGATCCACAGAGTGAGTTCAAGGACAACCAGGGCTGTTACACAGAAACCTGCCTCCAAAAACAAAAAAACAAACAAAAACAACTGCAAAAACCAAAAAGGTGTGGTGGCACACACCTTTAATCCTAGTACGCAGGATGCAGATGCAGGAGGATTTATGTGAGTTTCAGGCTAGCCTGGTCTACACAGAGAGTTCCAAGCTAGCAAACAACATAGTGAGACCCTATAGAAGAAGGAGGAGAAGAAGAAGAAGAAGAAGAGGAGGAGGAGGAGGAGGAGGAGGAGGAGGAGGAGGAGGAGGAGGAGGAGGAGGAGCAGGAGGAGGAGGAGGAGGAGAAGCAGCTGAAAATTCTGAAATTCCAAGAAAAGAAATAGATATCTGTTTTAGTTAGGGTTTCTATTGTTGCAATGACACACCATGACCAAAAAGCAAGTTGGGCAGGTTTATTTGGCTTATACTCCCATATTGCTGTTCATCACTTAAGAAAGTCAGGACAGGAATTTAAACAGGGTTAGAATCCTGAATCAGAGGCCATGGAGTGGTGCTGCTTTACTGGCTTGCGTCCCCTGGGCTGCTCAGCCTGCTTTCTTATAGAACCCAGGACCACCTCCCCAGGAATGGTACCACCCACCATGAGGCTGGACCCACCCCCACTGATCACTGAAAGAAGATGCCTTATAGCTGCATCTCAAGGAGGTATTTCCTTAGCTGAGGCTCCTTCCTCTCTGATGACTCCAGTTTGTTTCAAGGTGACACACAAAACCACCCAGTACAATATCAGAATTAAAAAAAATGCACACAAATAAGGTGAAATGAAAGAACTCCACACTGAGATACATAATAGTCAAGCTATCAGAAGTTAAGAAAGCAGTAAGTGAAAAATAAGTCATATACAAACTTTTATATTTTCATGTAACAACAAAATCCTAATATGGCAGAAGCAGCTATTTTATTACAAAGATAGATTCAAACTGCTGACCGTGGAGCGAAAAACTTACCAATCAAGATTGCAATAGGAGGTGAAATTGTCTTTCAAAAGTTAACGTGAGAGAATTCTTTTCCAGGACATGAGGGATTTCATTACCACTAGCCCCGCCTTGTAGGAAATGCAAAGATAGTTCTTCAAGCTGCAGGAATGAGGAAGCAGCACCACACTAGCATGAGAAAGTTTGTGACTTGGTAAGCTTGATAAAGGTAAATATTTAGATAAATCTAGAGCATCACATTGTGCTGTTGCTGGGCAATAAAGCCATGTTTATATTCCTTCTCAGGACTCTAAACAAAAATGCTATCCCTTTAAGAAAGTATTTCAACAAACTTGATATGCTATGCTTTGTTGCCACCTGTGAAAGGCCTGCCTCTATCTGAGCAGAAACAGAGGAGGAGTGAATGGGGGACAGAGTGGAGGTGGGGAGGGTGGAGGGCAAGGGAGGAGAGGAAGGAGGAAAAATTGTGCTTGGAATGTAAAATTAATGAAAACTTTAATCAATAGAAAAAGAAAGTCTTCCAAAATGTGAGGAGCATGTTGGGCCTTATTGGTGGCCATTTTTCAGCAGCTCAGCTAGGAAGGAAAAGGCCGGTTGTCACTTAGGGGAAACATAATCTTTCTCCTACTCTGAGGTCCAGTTTCATATTAAAGAACTAGTGTGGTTTGAATTCCCTTCAGCCTTTACTCTGGCCAATATGATCAATATGGAGAGAATTATTTAAATTATTTAAAGAAGCAAAAGTTAAACACTTTCTCTCTGGGATTTATGATGATTTTTATTTAACAATTGATATAATTATCTCTACCCCTTCAATGTATGCATTATGCTATACTGTCCTTGAATATTGTTTTCGATATTTTGAGACAAGAGTTTTATGTAAAACCAGTTGACCGCAGACTCACTATGTAGCAGACAATGGCTATGAACATGTGATCATCCTGCCTCTACTTCTGAGTTCTGGGATAATAGGCATGTACCACCAGGCTCAGCTTCACTCATTTTCCTTCTTTTATTATTATTTTGGATTGAATACAGAGAAGTGTGCATTCTAGGCAAGTGTTTTACCACTAGGTTATAAACCCAGCCCGGAAGAATTATTACTTAATGAAAATTCTTAAGGTCATAGTAACTTTCTATTTCTTTCTATACAAAAGCATACTTGGGTTTTGTTAAACCTTTTCTAAGTGAAATTATGATCTTAATTTTTCTACAGAAGGAAGCATTTGTGTTAGAAAAATCATAAAATTAATTACCCCCTGCAGCAGTATCAATATACTTTGCTGAAATGGTTTAATGATTAATCAGGTTCATCTTCCAAATTATACCAAATTAAAATACTTGGATTCCAATTTTAGATACAAATAGGATGTCTTTTGAACTTCCTATGCTTTTAGAATAAATTTTTCTGTATCAATGCATGACATGCTCTGAAACCATAGCCAAATACAATTTTGATGAGCATAGTATGAAAGTCAACCTCTGAAAACAGAAATAAAAGGTAGTATTTGAATTAATATGGAGAACATTAGAAAGTTCCAGTGAAGATAAACCAGTATTGTGGATTCTGTTTCTTAGAAAGACTGAAAATGAAATCTTTGAATCTGGATCAAAAGACAATAATAAGTCTAATATTCAGACAGATGAGTTCAGCAGCTAGCCTATGTACATGGTATCCAACTTTGTAATCATTTTTGAGCCTTTTCTACCTGTGATAGTTTGAAAGAAAAATGTCCTGTATATACTCACGCATTTGCACACTTGGTCTCGCATTGGTGGCAATGTTTGGAAAAGTTTTGGAGGCACAGCCTTATGGGAGGCCACTGGGAGTAGAATTTGGAAGTTTAGAGCCTTGCTCTACTTCGGGTTTGCTCTCTCTGCTTTGAGCTTGTGGTTCGTGACATGATCTCTCAGCTTCCTGCTCCTGTCACTAAGCCTGCCTGCTGATATGCCTCCCATCAAGATGGACTTCTTTCCTTCTGGAACCGTAAGCCAAAGTAAATTCCTTCTTCCATAAGTGTTTTTCGTTATTACAGCAATTACAGCTTTGATACAGCAAGAGAAAGAAAAATAACAGATATACAAACTGTAACAGAAACCTATTATATGCAACCTACCTTCTGACAGGTACTAAACATGTTAAATGTCCAAGGAAAAAGTATAAAGGAGTTACAATCGATGTTAATACAAAGCAGCTAAGTTGAAAACCCAGTCATCGATTTAAATCTATTTCCTTTGTGTAAAGTGTCAAGCTTGTCCAGAGTTCTTTGATTCATTCCCAAACTATTACTCACATAAAGGAAAATATCTTTACTTGTTCTCTTACCTTAAATTTTCTGAATATCCTGTGAAATGGGTTTAGATAGATGCTGGTCACTGAGCAGATTTGTGATGTATGGTTCCATCAGTGGACCAAGATATTGATCTTTTCAACCTTAGCTACCTGTTAAGAAAAGACAAAAAGTACAATAAGCAATATTGGCATCATAACTTATGTTAATCAAGTTTCCAAATACTTGTTCACATGGCACAGAGAATCTATTCTTACTGGACTATATTAATTTCTTGTCCTAACATCAGAACATACTTTCCTCTTTGAAAAATGAAAAGAAAACAATAAAGTTCAAAAGGAAAGTTTACCAAATAGGAAAAGAGACAAAAAACATTCTCTGTTATAGAGTTAAGATTAAAGTGGAGTTCTGAATTGGACAAACTAAACAAACAAACAAAACAAGGATTAATACTTAGAGGAAGGATCCAGTAAGGATAGTAAATCACGTTTAAAATCATAAATCATAGATTAGAAAATTATTTCCCTTATCCATTTATTCTTACTAGTAAAAAGTCTTCCAACTCAATGGGGAGGAGCTTGCCTATCTTCAGAAGGCTTCTATAAAATCAGAATACTGTAAAACTCAGGGTAATCAACATTGGACATTTTGACAAAAGTAGATATTGATCATTCATTTATTCATTTTTCATGTGACCTTATATGCAAGATGTATCACTACATACAAAAACATTCAGTTTCTGCCTTTGAAGAGCTCACAGTCTAACTCAGGGTGAGCAAAGGTAAGTAAATAATGCCACTATAGTAGAAGAATTACTGTTACAGATTAACAGATAGCTGTCCTTTTACAGCAGCCTGAGAAGCTTGAGCCTTGATCAAAAAAACAGGACTTCCCCAAGTAAAGATGGGGAAGAAAACGAATTTCCTTTAATTATTCAACTAATTAATCAATTAATTCTGTCATCCATTCATACCTACCACTAATTGCTCTACGACTATACAAAAGGCACATTAGGAGACAGTAAGAATATAAATGAGGAAAACATGTAAAAGAATGAATAGAAAATGATAATGCATAAAACAATAAAAATCCATGCTGGGTTAAAAAAACGCAAACATCAACAAGGAAGTCAGGACCGCAAGGGGTGCGCCCATCCACTGAGACGGTGGGACTGATCTAATGGGAGCTCACCAAGGCCAGCTGGACTGGGACTGATGGAGCATGTGATCAAATAGGACTCTCTGAACGTGTGGGACAAGGAGGGCTGACTGAGAAGCCAAGGACAATGGCACTGGATTTTGATTCTACTGCATTTACTGGCTTGTGGGAGCCTAGTCTGTTTGGATGCTCGCCTTCCTAGACCTGGATGGAGGGGGAGGTCCTTGAACTTCCCACAGGGCAGGGCACCCTGACTGCTCTTTGAACTGGAGAGGGAGGGAGAAGGGGATGGGAGAGGGGGAGGAGGAAAATGGGAAGAGGGGGGAGGAGGTGGAAATTTTTAAGTAAAAATTAAAAAAAAACGAAATAGCTTATGCACAAATTCTGCATTACCTGGATGCTTCAGGATATTATTAAGTGTAACTATTTCTGAAATAAATGGAAAGAGGAAAGATAGCATCTTCTTTAAAAAAATGAAAACCGTGAGGAGTGGATATGAGAGGAGATAGGGGGATTAAAATACATTGCACATGTATATGAAAGTCTCAAAAAATTAAAAAATATGTTAAAAACAAAAAAAGCGAAAAGACAACTGTCCTAGTTAGTATTAACTGTCAAGTTAACACTTTCTTTTTCTTTTTTTTTTCTTTTTTTTTTTTAAAGATTTATTTTACCTTTTTTTTCTTATTGTTTATTTACTTTATTTTATGTACACTGGTGTGAAGGTGTCAGATCCCCTGGAACTGGATGATCCCCTGGAACTGGATCTTCAGACAGTTGTGAGCTGCCATGTGGGTGCTGGGAACTGAACCCCGGTCCTCTGGAAGAACAGTCAGTGCTCTTAACTACTGAGCCATCTCTCCAGCCCCAAGTTAACACTTTCTAAAATCACTTGAAAATTGCAGTTGATTTTCTCAGGCTTGTCTGTGATCATATCTGTGAGGGGTTGACATGTTAAAATCGATGTAGGAAATTCCAGCCCACTGTGGGTGGCACCATCTTTAGCCAGGTGGTCCTGAGCAGTATAAGAAAGCTAGCTAAGCATGTGCCCATGAGTGAGCAAGTTGGAAAGTTCTCCCATGGTTTCTGCTCCAAGTTACTGCTTGAATTCCTGTCCTGACTTCCCTCAGTGATGGACTGTGATTTTAAGCCAATAAATCACACCATTCCCTAAGTTGCAACAAAAATTAAACTAGAATAATAGCCAAAGAAGATCAGCTGAAGTGAATATTGTCAGATAAAAAGGCATTTGCCAAATGGACAAAGGAGAAAGGCCATTCTGTTGGGGGAAATAAATAACTGTATAAACACAAGCAAGGGCCAACAGCATAGTGGGGGAGGGGAGAAAATGAGAGCACATGGTCTAGAAGGCCAAGGGTCAGACCAATGAATGTATGCTTTATTTGGTGGCAATAAGATGTGTTACAGTCATGACAGAAGGAGGATCATTATTAGATGTGCATTTTCAAAGGAAAATTTGGTAGCAGTAAGAACAGACCTAGAGAAAATTAGTTTGGATATAGGAAGACAAGTGAAGGAATTTCCAGTATCATGAATGGTCTACAAGAGCTAATTCCAGGACGGGTAGAACTAACTGTTACAAAGGGAAATCCTGTCTCGAAAAACCAAAATGATAGATAGATAGATAGATAGATAGATAGATAGATAGATAGATAGATAGAAAATACATTTGATTTCCAGCCCATTCCACTGATGTAACTTCTTCAGGGTCCATCTGTTCTCCACCTCAATCTACCTCCAGAAGATGTCTTGCTACCTTAACACGTTCAAAACATTTACACAAAATATGATATACTTTGTCCCGATTATCCTGCAAAGGGCAATATTTTAAGCTCTTGGAAGACAAAGGTGAAGAAAGAACGAAGAACAGTAAGTTAAGATTGCACTGTAAGAAAAGGAGTTTCTCTCTTTTTCTCAAATAGCATACAACATTAAGGAATCCTTAGTAGTGGTTTTAGAAAAACAACTGCATTATTCCTTGTATGTTAATCTACCCACTCCTTAAAGCTAACCTCTGTAATTCTATAGAGAGAATTATTTATACAATTTGACTCAGATACACTTCAACAAATTGCGAAGCTGAGTGCTTGTATCAGCTTGTCAAACCAACACTCATGTAGTTCAAGTACTATGTAAACAAGGCTTCCAGTTATGCCACAGTGGACTCTGCTCGTCTGCTTGCTTTTATGCGCCATCCTACACCAGGCATGCATTTTTACCCACATAATAAGAGAAAACCATAACCTCCGGCCTAGATAAAGTGAAATACCTTTCATGTATAAGAATTGGTTCAGGAACTCGAGTCAGCTTCACTTATAGTGGGTTCAAGTTCAGCCTATGCTACAGGAGAAGCCCTGCTTCAGATTTTTTTTAAATGAAGATAGCAATACGTGCTTTATTACTGTACTAAAGATGTGGTGAATACAGCCTCCTAGGTCGCAGAAATAATGATGCAGGTAAGGAACTAATAAGTTCTACAGAAAGGAAATAAGAATACAATTACTAGAAAGCAAACAAGATACTGTCCATGATGAGGACCATCTCAGTAAATGATTTCCTATTGTCTGGGCCAGTTTTCTCATCTCCCAGTATTGTGCATTTCAGAGGGCAAAAAGGAGAAAGCATGTGGATGTGGACAGGGTGTAGTTTTTATATTAATGGGAAGGAACACAAAAATCTCAAAGCAAAAACTACTCAGAGAAAATAAGTCAATTTTTAAAAGGAGAAATTTAATAATTATTATGCTCTTTTATCACACTAATGATGCCATTGAGCTTTCATTAAGTTGATGACGAATATCCCAGGAATGCCTATGGAAGCACTAAGAGTGATGCCTCAGCAAACCAAGCAATAATCTTAACATTCTCAACCTCGGTAAGAGTTAGGCTAGCTAAAGAAGTTAGTAGAATCTTTGCTCTGAAAATATGTCTGGCAGATCTTTATTTACATATAAATATTTGGATGAAGAGATAAAATATTGAATTTCTAGTATGTGCCAGAGACTGTGCAAGATCCTTTATATTTGTTATCTCATTAAATTCATATCGTCTCTAAAGGTAGATACTATCACCCCTGTAATAAAAAGGTTCATACAGGTAAACCAGTTTGGGTAGAATAATACAGATAAGGGTTGAATGCATGATTTGATCTCAGACTTTTAGGACTCCTAAAATCAAATTTTTACCAGCATTGTAAAATTTCTACTAGTATAGCATCTAGAAGAAAAAAAATTTCCACATATTCCTAAGCCTATTGTCTTAGTTTGGATTTTTATTGCTGTGGAGAGACACCATGACCACAAAAACTCTTATAAATAAAACAATTGGGGTGACTTGCTTAAAGTTCAATCCATTATCATCATGACAAGGAACATGGCAGCATACGGGCAGATGTAGTGTTGTAACTGAGAGAGCTACATCTCGCAGGCAACAGGAAGTTGACTGACTTCTACACTGAATGAAACTTGAACAAAAGAGACTTCGAAGCCTACCCCCACAATGCCACACTTCCTCCAACAAGGTCACACCTCCTAATAATGCCACTCCTTTGGGGACCATTTTCTTTCAAATCACCACACCTATTAACCTGCTTGCATTTTCTATGGATGCATCTATATAAGTAGAGTGTTTAGTTTGAGTGTCAAGATGCTGGTTTAATACACACACACACACACACCTTGACTTTCTTGAACTTGAAAGCTGAACTGTTAAAAGAGTTTATAGTGTTGCATTTGACAAAACACACTAACGTTTTAGTTTTTAAAAATACTTAGTGTATTTCTCCTTGCCATTTTGTTTTCTTTGATTTTGATTTTTCTGTTTTTTTTTTTTCCTTTTGAGACAAGGTCTCACTATAAAATTCTGACTAGCCTGTCAGTTTCTATGTAGACCAAGATGGCCTTAAACTCCCAGAGATCTGCTTGCCTCTGCCTCCCAAATATTGTGATTGAAGACATATGGGATAAAAGGGCCAC